AAACCCATAAGTTGGAGCCAAATGGAAGGGATATAACAACATCACTGTGTGCTCCACATCCATCATCCACCTGTCCTACTGCACTTGTGGTGACCTTTCAGTGACCAAAGTATGAATGGAGCAGAAAGAGACAACAAAAAACTCCTTCCTTCTTTGTCATTCATCACAGCTCCCACCTGTCCTACTAAAATTTCATAGGTTTCCCACCCAGGATGACTTCAGTGACAGACCTTTTCATGGATAGGACTAAGGAGAAGCAGACAGATCCTTCCATGTGAATACAACAGTTCTTCACAATACTCTGCAACCATGCTAAGATTTTGCAGGTTTCTTAACTAGGGCCACTATGCACAATGTTAGCAACAATTATACATTAAAAGAACCTTTGAACTTTCTAGAGTTTACATTAAGGCTTTTCCCAAAGGGATCTTTTGCTTTCAGCAACCTCCACTTTTCTTATGATTTCCATTTTGGTAGCCAGATCTATGCTTTGTTTTGTTTTTAATGTACTGGTGTAACTGATGAGGCAGGCTGATCTGCTTTCCCCCCTTTATCTCTGTTTTTCTGTTCAAGCATATTTAGTAAGAGAGTCTAGAGACAGCTGATATTTCCCTTGTTTATTGTAGGCAAGCACAGACAGCTACATTAGGATTAGCTACAGCAGAATCCCATTCTTTCCCAACTCAAGCCTTTATTGCATTGTTCTCTGCAGACACACTGCTGCAACCCAACTCCAAAAGTTTATGTTTCTCCAGCAATCCTTCACCATCCTCCCAATGCGGGTGCTGCTAAAAAATCTTCCAGTTAGAGAGAGGATGAGGAGAAATAGGAAAAGCTGGTTGGGTGTAAAATGCCTTTGTAAACAGGAGTTTCTTTGTCAGAGGCTTTATTAACTGAGGGTATGCCTATATTAAGGACTTTATCACACCAGCTCGCTGTCCCTCCACATTTCTGCAAGTTTAAGAATGGAAGCATACTGGTTTGGCATCATTTCTTATTACACTTTCCCCCAGAATACCACTCTGGCAATCCATGATAGCATGATCTGTTTTCTACACTGCCAAATGTCACCTTTTGGGGGAAAGGGTAGGAAGAAGTGATTGCAGGGGCCAACTATTTCCTGAAGCTAGCTGCTGTATGAATGTGAACACAGCAGTTGGCTTCAGAAAGGTGTTGGCATCTGTGATCCCTCTTCCTTCCGAAGCACAAGGCTGCTTTGTGAATGTGTACAGACTGCTGGCTTCAGGAAGGTGTTAGTGGCTGCAATCATTACATGGAAGAGGAGCAGAATCACCCTGATTCCAACACATGTCTGCCTAAAAAGCAGAACTGCAGCACAAGAGACTTATCACATGAAGGCAGTAATGGAATAGCAGTGAGAATGAGAGCCTATTGACAGGATTTCCCTGTCAATGAAAAGGTGCATTACAGTAACAAATGGAATATGTGGCAGCAGCAGGATGGACACAACTTTGTGTGATAAGTACCAGCCAAAGACACTTTTACCCTGTTAAAATTCTGTTTTTTAGTCTTGCGTGATAAAGTCCTAAGACACTTTGTCCCCTGGCTTGACAAGCAAGATCTGAGTGTGTGTTTGTGTGTTGATTTGTAAGGCTGTAACTCTGTCTCCAGCTCCTTGTGATTGTGCAACTACGATAATAAATTATCCTACAGCAGTGAAATTGGAACCTTTTATATGCACTTACATGCAGGATGCCAAGAAGTGCTTTGAAACATTATTTACAGACTTCCTTGAGACTACTGCCATTTATGAGATGTGTGAAAAATGTATAAGAATTCTTGTCAGATTCACGGTATCCCCATTCCATGCATTCAAATAAGACTACTGTAGGAACTTCCTGACAGTGTTTGACAGTGGAACACACTCCCTTGGAGTGTGGTGGAGTCTCCTTCTTTTGAGGTCTTTAAACGGAGGCTGGATGGTCATCTGTAGGGGAGGCTTTGATTTTGAGTTCCTGCATGGCAGAATTGGGTTGGACTGGATGGCCCTTGGGGTCTCTTCCAACTCTATGCTATTCTATGATTGAGATTGAGATTGACTGATGGAGACTGGATGTGGCAAATTGAGATGGTATACCTTCATGAGAAAGAAAATGACTCAAGGTCCAAGGTCCCTTCAAAGACTTACAAAAAATCCTCTTCCTGACTCATCTAAATATGATTGGATTGTATATTACATCCCTTGTATTTAAAAAAAGGTTTTCTGGATTCTGGAAGTTATATAGTCTAAACAACAAAACTTTCCAGGCTCTGAAAGGAATGCCTATAATATGCTACAGTCCTGGGATACTTTCCTAGAAGATACAAGCTTTTGCCCTCCTAAAAAACTTGTACTTTTGTCTAATTTTCAATATACCAGTAATTATTTGATGGTGTTGATTTTTCTTGCTACCTTTCACTTCAAGGAAAAGAATACCCCCCTTTTTTCCCTGACCACCTTTCTCTGGGAAACGCATATAAAGAATGTCATGAAGAACAAATTACGGAACTGTTTACTTCATCCAGAGGATTTCAAGGTTTTGGGATCTAGGATTACTTTAAAATACTTTTGTTCTGTAAATACTGCCATTTATGAGATGTGTGAAAAATGTATAAGAATTCTTGTCAGACTCACGCTACCCCGATTCAATTCATTTAAATATGACTAATGTAGACAGATTGACAAAAGACAGGAAATATTTGGGTTGAGCTGCTCATATCAGCCAAATCAAACATATGTGTTTGTAGGACATAGCTGGAATGGGTCAGATCCATGTTATGATTCCCAGATGCAAACAAAATGCATAAAAATGCCTAAGATATGCATCCAAGCTAGCATATGCTGGTATATCAAAGAGGGCTTTAGATCCTAGCAGGCAAATAGAGATGGTCAGAGTATAGAATCATAGAACCATACAGTTGGAAGAGTCCACAACGGCCATCCAGTCCAACCCCCTGCCATGAAGGAACCCACCATCAAAGCACCCCCAAGAGATGGCCATCCAGCCTCTGTTTAAAAACCTCCAAAGAAGGAAACTCCACCAAACTCTGAGTATGTTCCACTGTCAGACAGCTCTTACTGTGAGAAAGGTCTTCCTAATGTTTAGGTGGAATCTCCTTTCCTGCACCGTAGCTTGCATCCATTGTTCCGGGTCTTATTCTCTTGAGCAGCAGAAAGTAAGTTTGCTCCATCCTCAATATGACACCCCTTCCAATTCTTAAACAGGGCTATTATATCACGTCTTAACCATCTCTTCTCCAGGCTGAACATACCCAGCTCCCTAAGTCTCTCCTCATAGGGCATGATTTTCAGAGTAGTGAGGGTTTCTTTCGAAAGAATCCTTCTCTTAACATGAGCAAGTTGACTCTTCACACATATCAACCTTAGACCTGCATGCTATTCATGGTTTGTTCTTGTTGCTGCTGCTGCTGCTGCTGTTGTGGTTGTGTGTCTTCAAGTCGTTTCCAGCTAATGCAACCCTAAGGTGAGCCTATCATGTTTTTTTTTGTGGCAAGGTTTATTCAGAGGAGGTTTGCCATTGTCTTCCCCCGAGTCTGAGAGCATGTGACTTGCCCAAGGTCACCCAGTGGCTTTCATGACCAAATTGGGATTTGAACCCTGGTCACTAGAGTCGTAGTCCAACACTCAAACCACTCCACCATGCTGGCTCCCATTATCCATGACAGTGCCAGCTGTTACTGGCTGCAGGATTCTTTGGGCCCTGTGCAAACCTCAGATTTATTTTTATTCATTTTTTAAAAATAATATTTATTGAATTTTTATTCATTTTTAAACCATAGAAAGCTTCTAGCCCTTAAGAGTATGAATGTGCAGTTCACGGGCTTCTGAATGGAAAAAAGTACGCTTTTTTGGCCACAATTCCCAGAAGCAGATGGGTGAAGTCCTATTGGGCCCTTTAGTTCTTTGAACCCTCGTGAGATACAAGCCTTTCCTCAGGAAAGACAGAAAACAAAAACAGAAATAGTGACAAAATGTGGAATTCATCCCCACACTTGTTTGATTATGCCAATATGCTTCCAATCTGAATTCAAGGTGCCCGAGGTGATGTTCAAAATCCTAAAGGATTCTGCATCCTCTGGTTCAACCATCCATGGCTGGAAAATACACCCCCCCCCAAAAAAAAATCCAAAAAAGCAAACCTTAATTTTGCCATTTTATATAAGGGACACCATTTTACTATGCCATTTGTATTCAGTGGACTTGAGCATCCATGGATTTTGGTATCCATGGGGGTGTCCTGGAACCAAACCTCAGTGGATACCAAGAGTCCAATGTAATTGAAGGAAGGTATCCCTGCTCAGCCATGAAACCTGCTGGGTGACCTTAGGCAAGTCACACTTTCTCAGCCTCAGAGGAAGGTAATGGAAAACCTCCTCTGAACAAATCTTGCCAAGAAAACTCATTGATAGCTTTGCCTTAGGGTCACCCTAAGTCAGAAACAAGGGCACCCAAAAAAACACACACACACACATACACATCACACATTCTCTATATGCCTGCCCTAGGACTGAAACTTGAAGCCATTCTGCCATCTTATCAAAATGAAAAAGGGAAGCCCCTCTCCTCCAGATCACAGCAAAGTAACTGTGGGAGAAAGGTGGGATATAAGTCCTGGAAATAAAATAAATAAATAAATAAATAAATAAATAAATATGGTATATAATGTGGGGCTGGTGAAAATATGGTAGCTGAGCTCCTTTCTGCATTACAATTCATATAAAAGGTAATTATATAAAACTTGAAAAAATATTTACCTGGTATAAATGGAGAGTCCACTAGATTAAAACATAAATTCAATGTTCATGACGAGTAACTGTATTTAAGAATTAAAATCCTAATTTTAATGCTATATTTGAGTCAAGGATTAAAGAAATTTGGGATTAGCAATAATTAAAAAAAAAAAGATTAGGACAAGCCTGTAATTTTGAAAGGTGATAGTTGATTAAAATACCTCCAATTTTATTGGTTTACATATTTTTCTCCATGTTTTGACTGTATAGTTAGTATGACAGATAAATATGATGAAAAATATTGATTCCCCTCCATTTAGTTTTATTTTTGGCAATCTCATTCAATGTTGAGGAAATGCAAATTTGCATATTTTTCTTAGATGTTTTCATAGTTCCTTACTGTATTAAATACATTCATAACATGGAGTCATGGTTTGAGTGTTGGACTATGACTCTGGAGACCTGGATTTGATTCCCAGATCAGTTATGAAACACACTGGGTGACTTTGGCTGAGTCACACACTCTCAGCCTCAGATGATGGAAATGGCAAACCTGCTCTGAAGAAACTTGCCAAGAAAACCCCATGATAGGTTTGGTTTGCCTTAGGGTTGTCATAAGTCAGAAACAACTTGAAGGCACACAATAACAATAAAGTTATTTGAAAACATTTGTATATTTTGTACATTTGTATACACACACACACTTTGTGATCATTGAAACTAATGCAAATTAACAGTTTAAAAACTACATAAATAAATAACTGTTACATAATAAAAATTCTAAATATTTATTATAATTTTTGTAACAAAGTGTGTATGTAACAATAACAACAATGTGCAATATTTGCTAATGTCTTGCAACTCTCAAACATCTGGAGTTTATCATGTGTGGGTCTTATGTTAAGCACATTTGCCCACTGCTGATATATACCTATCACAATATATGCAGATTACTTTTAGTGGGAGAGGTATATTTGGTCCGTGGCTTTGTTTACTGACAAAATTCTGGTGGAATCTCCCAAAATTTCCTTCATTTGGAGTTAAGGATCCAGGCAAATATGGCTTTAACTTGTGATGTAACTTAATTCTTTGAGATGCAATGTAAAAATAACAGATGTGCCAAGCTTTCTGGGAAAGTTGGGAAACACACACAC